AGCCTCTGCTGCCACCATAAAACCAAGGGCCTGGACAGCCCCCTAATGTTGAAGGGAGTTGTCCCATCCCTTCAGCTTGGCCCCCTCTCAGCAGAGGCTTGTCCATGTGGGTATTCACTCAGTTCTCTGGACTCACACAGCAGTCTCCACACCTCTGTAAAGAGCTTTACATCCTGCTGCAGGGCCCTTGGGTGCATACCATGAACCTCATTCGTCCCTTCTCTAGCTTCTCCTTAGTAGACCTAATCCAATTCTACAACTTGAAATGCCAACTATAAATTGACAATTTATAGACAATTCTCAATTTTATTTCACTAGCCTGGAGTTCCGGATTTATATATCCAACTGTCTGTTCAACATCTCTACTTGGATCTAATAGTATCTCAAAGGTTAACATGGCCCAAACCAAACTTTAAATTTGCTTTTAAAATTACTTTTGAAACTTGAAAATTGACTAGGAAACACTGATCAATGAATTATCAATAGCATATCTGTTCCCATAAACATGTGGAATCTTTGCGGAGCCCAGTATACATGGAATGCTGGGTGGAAACCATACTGAATAAATAGCATTGGCACTGGGAATAACTATTTGCCCAGAACAAGCAGTACTTACAGAAAGTGAGTAGAAAGAATGCTGATTTCATTCATTTTAGCCTTTCCCCTAGATCTTTCCAGCCTCATTTCTCACTCCAACCCTCCATTTCACCAGTCCACTTCCAGATTCACTATTCCTTTGATTTGAAATGTTCTCTCCTCTGCTCCAGCCCCATCTAGCAAAATTCTAACAGACCTTCAGGCCCAGGTGAAATGTCCCCTCTCCCATGAACCCATTCCAGATCTCTCCAACAGAAGAATGAGTGATACACGTGGGAAGAAGTAGGTGTGATTCCTTAGTCACAAGTCCAAAACTTTTTGTCCGCTCTTTCATCCCTAAATCCAATCGTCATGGTTCTACCTTAAAATAGATCCAGAGTCTGACCACCTCCACTGATACTACCCTCATCTAAGCCACCAACAATCTTTTACCTGGATAATGCAACAGCCTCCTAACAGGCCTCCTTGCTTCCACCCTTGCCCCCTATCATCTATTCTCAACACAGCAGCCAGACTGGTCCTTTTAAAATGTAAATCAAAGCATGTCATTCCTCTGTTCAAAATCCTCCCCAAACTCCCAACTTCAGAGCATTATCCAAAATACTTAATATGGCCTATAAGGCCCTATACAATCTATTCCCTGACAACTTTCTGGTTTCATCTTCTACTATTCTCTATGTTGCTCACCCAGCTCCAGCTGAACTGGCTTCTTTGCTGTTTTCCCAATTTGTCAATTATGCTCTCACCTCCGGGTTTTTATACTTGCTGTCCTCTCTGCTTGGAACCCTCTTCTCCCAGATTTACACACAGCTTGCTCCCTCACTCCCTTCAGGCCTCTACTCAAATATCACCTTATCAAAGAAACCTTCCCTGTCAACACCATATAAAACAGCTTATACACTCCCATCATTCTCTGTCTCCTTACACTGTTTTTCTTTTTAGTATACATCAATTATATTTGCTTATTATCTGTTTCCCCCTTCCACTCTCCACGCAATCAGGCCCTTTGCTAATTTTGTCTTCATTGCCTAACAGTGCATGGCACATAGTACTTAAGTACAATAGACTGCAGGTTCCTTAAAGTATAAGATTGAAAGCAAGAACAAAAATCTTCCAGAGTAGACATAACTCCAAAGTACGATGTATAATCAAGACACCCAGCAAACATTTAATAATGCTTTTTTCATATGTATCCACTTCTTCTGGCCTATCTAACAATTATCATTGGCCAAAGCCTTATGTCATGAACCTTGGAATTGTGTAATCCTCCCAAAGGAAGGAAAAATCAGTTGTATGTGAAAATGTTCAGCCTCTGAAATTGAAATCATCAAAGCCTAAAAATTTAGGCAATCGATATTTTACAATTATGTTCAAAACTTGATCCACTTAAGGCACCAGAATCTCCTTCTTCCTCTCGTGTTTTCTATCACCATCTAACTTTTGTTTCCCTTTCATGCCTTTTCTCAAGAGAGAAGGGGCTGGCCCAGTGGCACAGCGGTTAAGTTCACACACTCCGCTTCAGTGGCCCAGGGTTCACTAGTTTGGGTCCTGGGTGCGGACCTATGCACCGCTTGTCAAGCCATGCTGTGGCAGACGTCCCACATATAAAGTAGAGGAAGATGGGCACAGATGTTAGCTCAGGGCCAATCTTCCTCAGCAAAAAAGAGGAGGATTGGTGGTGGATGTTAGCTCAGGGCTAATCTTCCTCAAAAATAAATTAATTAATAATTTTAAAAAAAAATTTGTTTAAAAAAAGAGAGAGAAGGGGGCCAGCCCCGTGGCCAAGTGGTTAAGTTCGCATGCTCTGCTTCGGCGGCCGAGGGTTTCATTGGTTTGGATCTTGGGCTCGGACACGGCACCACTCACCAGGCCATGCTGAGGCGGCGTCCCACATGCCACAACTAGAAGGACCCACAATTAAAATATACAACTATGTACTGGGGGGATTTGGGGAGAAAAAGCAGGGGAAAAAAAAAGAGAGAGAGGAAGATAGACACGGAGTCTGCATTAATGAAGGCTTTGAATTTGAACTCCAAAGAAAGTCCAGGCTCTGAGCAGAAAATTATGCTTTTCTTTACAAATGTCTAGATCTGATTAAACTTGACCACAAATGACATCTGTCTTGTGCTACTTGTATAGATTTAAAGTGCTGCCATATATGTCATTCCACATAAATCACAAGACTTTACCTATACAGCACAGATAGTCTTGAAGACTGTATTCTAAATTAGACATTTGTGACCCCTTAGTTCAGTTAAAATATTATTTCACTAAATTAGGAAGTAAGGCAGATTGGTGACTTAAGAAATGTCTAAAAGTAAGCATTCCCAAAGCCTGCAGTGTCCAAGTGCTCAGATCCCAAAGCTTTAGGTAAATACCATGATCTTCACTAATAAAGGCTTTCCCAAGACATTCCCCCATAAGAATCTCTAATAAAAGCAATTTTGTCTTTGGTGCTAAAAGTGGTCAGGTTCCAACTGAAAAAAACCACAAACAAACTGCACAAAGGAAAGGATTTTGGATAGGACTTCAGATATAAAAATCAATAAGCCCTCAGGTAAGTCAACACAGAATGTAGAACACTAGAAATATAACTGAAAATTTGCTCCTAATTTTCACACACTCCACTGCTGGTAAATACACGACAGGGGATAGGAAAGGCACTGAAGTCATTCCTTCAGTGATCTTCAACAGCTTTACAAACAAGTACCAGATTGCTATCTCTGCTTTATAGAAAGTTGTTTCTATTATTGGAAGAAGTTAGGGCACAGAGAGGTCAAGAGCCAGATCCAAGTAGAGCTTTAAGCTGGCAATGTGGGTTAAAACTACATGCAGGTGTAGGAGTCACAAGTGTGGTTAATTTTACCAAACAATCTGACTCTGAACACTGAGTTAAGGGAGAATATTAAATAGAAATTCTTTATTCTCACACTAACTCCCCCATTTCTAACCACCATCCTCTCCCTCTCACTCTCTCTCACGTCTAACTGCACATTTCCACTGTCAAAAGCCACATGAAAAGATGAGCAAAGATTAATGGCCTGGTTAATCTCTAGCACAAGCACTGATCAGAGCATGCTCTTTGAGCCCCCCGGCTCTGGCTCCATACTGTAAGTAGATGTGGGTACATGAGCCCTATGGGGTTTGCGAATAGGGAGAGCTCAAACAATGTTCTTGTCAGCACTTTAAACAAAAACTCCATTCACTGAGAATGGCAGCATGTTCCTTTTGCCCTTTCTCCCTAGGAACTAAATTAAACAGATTACAGACAGTGGCAAGAGCTGGCCTTAGCACAGCCTCCCCCTTATTTGTTATTTTTAGCAATTTAGTCCGACAACGCCTGACAACTAAACATGCCTAGAATAGCTAAAGGGAGGGGGGATTATCAGATACTACCAGCAAAAAAACAGTAGTCATCACTTCCTCCAATCCAAGAAAGAACCATTTTCCATGTCTTTATAGCATCACACAGTTTGAGCTTTTAGTGTCTCATATAAAAACAGAGTGCGTATAAAACGTCAGTGGAAACCGATAATGCTTCCTGACCTGGAGTATTGTTCCACCCTCACATGTGTTTTCTTAAAAACAAAAGCAGAATAAAATGAACTAAACTGTTTTACACAAAAGTTAGGAGTACAATGCATCTGCGCCCATTTTGGAAAAATTCCCTCACAAGATAATTATGTGCCCAAAAGAAAAGCATCGTGAATAGTGCTGGAATTCAAATATTTTTATTATGCTGGTGGTAGGTGAGAGACTTGTCTGAAAGCAAGACAAAGTGAGGCGGGAGAAATTCCTCTAATTAATCATAATTAGCAAGACAGAATCACCCCTATACATTCCATTCATAAACGAAGTAATGTAGTGAAAATTCTTTGAAAAATGGTAAAATAAAAATGGTAAAGTCCCAAGCAGTATAATGCCTACATCAGCAGATAAATTAAAATTCACAAAACTACATTTTATAAAATTTAGTAAGGGGCCAGCCCCGTGGCCGAGTGGTTAAGTTCTCGGGCTCTGCTTTAGCGGCCCAGGGTTTTGCTGGTTCAGATGCTGGGCACCGACATGGTGCCACTTGTCAGGCCACGCTGAGGCGGCGTCCCACATGCCACAACTAGAAGGACCCACAATTAAAAATATACAACTGGGTCGGCCAGGTGACACAGTGGTTAAGTGCGCACATTCCACTTCGGCAGCCCAGGGTTCGCCGGTTTGCATCCCAGGTGCAGACATGGCATCACTTGGCAAAAGCCATGCTGTGGTAGGCGTCCCACGTATAAAGGAGAGGAAGACGGGCATGGATGTTAGCTCAGGGCCCAGTCTTCCTCAGCAAAAAGAGAAGGATTGGCAAATATAATAATAATACAACTTTGCACTGGGGGGGCGGGGCTTGGGGAGAAAAAGCAGAAGAAAGAAAAGAGATTGGCAACAGTTGTTAGCTCAGGTGCCAATCTTTAAAAAAAAAAATTTAATAAGATGCCACTTATAAAAATGTCCATGTACACTCAAGGACTTTAATAATTTATCAACATTTTCTGAACATGTTTTGCCACTAAGTATCATGTATTTTATAAGACAGTATAGGATAAAGGACTACAAATAAATAAAATGAGGTCTTCCTGGATATGTCATTTAATTCATGCATGTGGAGTTAATAAGCTATTACACAGCTCTATCCAAAAGTACAAGTCACACGTTGCTTAACGACAGGGATACATTGTGAGACATGCATCATTAGGCCATCATCATAGACTGCACTTACACAAAGCTAGATGGTATAGCCTATTACACTAAGCTATACGGTACTAATCTTATGGGACTACCATTGTATATGCGATCTGTTGTTGACAGAAATGTCGTTAGGCGGTGCATGACTGTATCTCTAAAACAGGTAATGCCTACTATAAACTACCTTTAAGCCATCACACATCCCTGCAATTTCAGTAATTTAACCAACTACTACAAAGATATCAAAGGAGATGCTGTTACCTTGTATTACCTTTTAGCTGGCAAAGTGGTACGCAGACAACTAGTTTTAGCTTCAAAATAGGATTCCAATTAACTTTTTAAATTAAGGTAATGATCTGGCCATGACAGGAAAATGGTGTTTTGTTTTGTCTTTCCTCTATCTTTTCATTTTTAGAGGGGCGTTTTTGCGCCTAAAGTGGAAAGTCAGAAAAAGACCAAGGTTTTAACAATAAACTTAAAAGAAGTGACCCTAGATATCTACTAATCCAACCCTTTCATTTTACAGATGAGGACACTGAGGCTTAGAGTATAGCATGGTTAGAATCCAGAACTCCTAACTCAACAGAAAGTATTTAAATTAGGAATTTAGGGTAGTAAATGCTCCGCAGTCAATCTGATAGACTTGGAGATCTCTATTTACGGTTTAAATAACAGTTTGGATCTTGTTCTTCTGAGCTGACATGCACAGCATGGTCATAGACTGTGGTGTGGCTTTGCCCACATTGAGCACTGAACAACTCACTTCTTCTGGCCAGTATCTATTACTTCAGGTCACAGGAGCCCTGTGATGTAAGGACTGATCAGAGCAAAAATCTGGGGAAAGAAAAGTGTACTGATTAACTTTGCCTCACCATCTAGTTACAAGAGCAAAGAAGCATGCAATAACATGAAAGAAAATTCAAAGTCTAACTCATCAAAAGAAATCATTCTCCAGGCAGCCCAAAAACGACTGGAGGGACTCTCAGGCATGGGAGGGAGGAGGCTAAGGACAAATTTTTATGGTTAGACACAGAGAAAAAGTACAGACCATATAAAGCATACAGCAGCGAAGGCTGAGGTCAACAACCCTCTGAAGCATTTGAAGGGATAATCTGGTGTGGGTATAGACAAGTATTCCAAGGAGGGGAATCAAGGCACCCTGGGAATGTAACCTAGAAGAAAAGAATAACTAAATTAAGATGCCAAAAGCTGAACTCTGGCTAAATGGAATGCAAATGCTTCTTTTACCTTAATCATAAAATGAAGAAGCACACCACTGAACAGATCAAACAAAAGGGGCATGTGTGTAAAATATCTGTAATATATATTTTACAGATAGTATAAGAAAGGCCGTCTAGTTAAAAGAGCACATCTATTTGAACTTTTTAAGTTCTCACCAGATCTGAAATATTTCTACTGAGGAACTATTTGGGCAAATATTAGCACTTGGATCATAATACTGACCAACATATTGATAATACTAATAATAACCAATAAAGAATATTCAACCAGAAATAAAGCAGATATGGGCTTTTTCAGACTCACGCCTATTCTCCTCTGAAATCTACAGAGGAGAATCACATACATTAAGCCCTAAAGCGCCAGGACATAGAGAATATATACAGTTCACTATAAACTCTAGGGTTTCAAACTGTCAGGCTTTTTTAGACTTAAACCTTAAATAACTAAAAACTACTTTAAAACAAACATCTATTTTTATAAATGGTGAGAATGCAAATGAACTCTATAAAGAGATAAGTATTCATGTCTGAAATCTCAATGTATGGGACAATAAGAGAAACCTCATCCAAGACTCCCCAAGTCAAAACAACATGGAAAAGAGTTAATTTACTACCTTGCAATTATTATTATTATTTTTTTTAAAGATTTTATTTTTTTCATTTTTCTCCCCAAAGCCCCCCAGTACATAGTTGTATATTCTTCATCGTGGGTCCTTCTAGTTGTAGCATATGGGACGCTGCCTCAGCGTGGTTTGATGAGCAGTGCCATGTCCGCGCCCAGGATTCGAACCAACGAAACACTGGGCCGCCTGCAGCGGAGCGCGCGAACTTAACCTCTCGGCCACGGGGCCAGCCCCTGCAATTATTTTTTTTAATTAAAAAAAAAAACTCAGAGATGCTTAGCTATCTAGCTACTCCTGAAGGTGAGAAATCATCAAACTAATTTTTAGAGTAAAGACATTTTACACTTCTCTCCAGAACTCAAAACTCTCCTGGGTTGGAGTGGGAGGATATCTCTGAAAAATAGCTCCCCTCAGCAAGAGGCTAAGAGAGAAACTGTGCAAACACTCTATGAGAACATCTTGACTTGTTAAGAGTAAAACTGGACACTCTGGAAAGATAAATTGTAGAAGATCTATACAATGAAATACCATATAGCAATGAAAATGAACAAATCACAATCTCCAGTAACAACAGAGATGTACTACCCAAACACAAGCTTCAGCAAAAGAAGCAAGGCAAAAAAAATAGTGCTGTTCATATAAAGTCCAAAAACAGGCAAGATTAAATTATACTTTTGAGGATACATACATAGGTAGTAAAAACTGTATCTTAAAAAAAAATTTATTATTACAAAACTTAGAATAGCAGTTATCTTGGGGAGGAGAGTGGTCAGGGATGGCACTGTGATCAGGAAGGGATAAACAGAGCAGGGGAGGGGCCTTTGGTGTCCTGCCAACTCTTGATTTCTTGGCCTGGATGATTGTTACAGGTGTTTGCTTTATAATTACTGATTAAGTTACATGTATTTTAATATATATTTATGTAAATCCTATATTTCACTACAAAATAAATAAATGACTAATTTTTTTAATAGAGTCTAAACTTTGAGCTACGCAAGCAGACGAACCATTGGGTGTAATTCTTGTTTAACGTATAAAAAACATTCTATCACTGGCTCTGCTCTCACCTGCCCTTCTCTCTTCATTAAAAATACAGATAAGAGGGGCTGACCCCGTGGCTGAGTGGTTAAGTTCATGCGCTCTGCTTCAGCAGCCCAGGGTTTCCCCAGTTTGGATCCTGGGTGCGGACATAGCACCGCTTATCAGGCCACGCTGAGGCGGCGTCCCACATGCCGCAACTAGAAGGACCGACAACTAAAATACATAACTATGTTCTGAGGGGATTTGGGGAGAAAAAGCAGAAAAAAAAAAAAAGAAGATTGGCAACAGTTGTTAGCTCAGGTGCCAATCTTTTAAAAAAAATATATAGCTAAGAATCAGTGCCTATCATATAGCAGAGTCCACTTAACAACACCTCCAAAGAGGAGCTTCCATCATATGCACAAAAATGAAGTACTTAAAGCAAAAGCTGGACATCCATCCAAGTGCCTACCAGTCACCACCCATGCTATGGAAAAAATGATCCTCAATAGGCAGAGTAAAATCTCCTCAATCACGGGAACTTCTCCAAAACATTTTCTCATTAGAGTCTCAGAACTCAGCCAACTGCAGTGTCCCAAGCACCTCCTTTCCAGTTCTCTTGCCATTATTCTTCCTACTTGTTTCAGGAACCACTATCTGACCAAAACTGTCATTTCTGTGGAAGAGTCGGGACTTTTACACAGTTTCTTAGATTTCACTTACAGCATGGGCTACTATTTCACAACCCTGGGATTATAACATTCTGCGTCAGAAGTGGCATTATGCAGGCCAGGATGTCCTGGGTTTCCTCTTTCTTATTTTTATTCTGTCATTGCTGAGCTAACCAGGGTGGTGGAAGGGGTGGTAACCATGTCAGAGACAGAGGGGAAGGAAAGTGGTCAGCCAGTATATGCATGTGCCTAAAATATAACGGGGACTTTGGAATGAGGGCAGAAGAGCTTGAAGCAGTAATTGTTTGGCCCTCACCTGGAATAAAGGAGAGAATATAAGAGAATGGTGGTCAAAATGTGTTCAAATACATCACTGAAAGCTTACAGTTATCTCAAGGATTTCAAATAGTTGAGATTCATAAGGCAAGGGGTGAGAAATTGAGCTCTAGCTCATCTGAATACTGGATCTAAGTTTTCCCAACTGCAAAAGAAGTGCACAAATAATTATTTCCTTCTTCTCTCCAAAAAAGTGAGCAAAAATATAGACTGTATTTTTCACTCTTTAGAAAATATATATCTCTTCAACCTATCAATAAGGTTTAACTCAACTTTAACTAAAACTGGATTTTCTCCAAAAAATTTTCTACTTTTTCTTTGTAGCAATGCTGTACATTTCAAAAAGAAAATTATTTTTACAAAGACAGATGAGACTCATAAAGTTATAATTCCAAATCCCAATTATATTCATGTCATTTAAAACAATTATACTTTTGTACTTTTCTAATAACATATACTTTATTGTATATTATACACGCAGTCATCTTCTTTAAAAAGTTATTTGTGGGGCCGGCCTGGTGGCACAGCGGTTAAGCACGCACATTCTGCTCTGGTGGCCCAGGGTTTGCCGGTTCGAACCCCGGGTATGGACATGGCACCTCTTGGCAAGCCATGCTGTGGCAGGCGTCCTACATAGAAAGTAGAGGAAGATGGGCACTGCTGTTAGCTCAGGGCCAGTCTTCCTCAGCGAAAAGAGGAGGATTCGCAACAGTTGTTAGCTCAGGGCTAATCTTCCTCAAAAAAATTTTTTGTTTAATTTAAAAAGTTATTTGGTATCAATATTTTAAAAAAATAGAGAATTCTCTCCAGGACATAAATAACATGGTTAGTCTATCATACTAAAGCCATCATTTTATATTTTCTCTTGAATAGGATCAGCATCACTGGTTTACTAATTATCATTAGGATGAAATGGTGATATTCCCTCCCAGAACCTGATCTACCACCTTTATAAAGGAAAAATAAAAATTTACATAAAACTATCATATTGTGCGTTATGAAAATATTTCCTAATCAATCCCAGTAAAGTGATTATAGTCTGAAGAATAACCCAACATAGGGGTATTAAAATGTAAATATGGAGTTTTAAGAAGAAAATGACAGTAAGACTATCTTCCCAAGGTTAAGATAGTACTTGTCTTTACCCTTCTAGTAAGTAAATAACTCCCTATCAAGGGGACATGAGGGCAAGGTTATAGTTCCCCGACCTCTGCTCCATAAGAAGAAAGGGCCAGCAGGTGAGGCTACCAGGTTGGTTGACAATGTAGGCACAGCATAACAAAGTTACCAAAAGCTACACAAATTCTAGGTAAGCTTTGCACTTGTAAACACCTACTGGGGAAAAAATCTGGAGAGAGCAAACATGAAGAAACAGAAAGGACAGAGATGAATAAAAGGGAGTCTAGAAAATACTAATATAGATTGGCTCTCAGATCCCAGAACCTGATTCAGATCAGCATCTATGTCATGAAAAAGGTTGATCCATAGTGTCAATTATATAGACTGTTGGCAGCAGATGGGGAGGCATACACAATGGGCCAAGTTAACAGCTTTGAACAGAAACTGGACCTATAGACCCAGACCAAAAACAACCTCACTCCTTTTTTTTTTTTAAGATTTTATTTTTCCTTTTTCTCCCCAAAGCCCTCTGGTACATAGTTGTATATTTTTAGTTGTGGGTCCTTCTAGTTGTGGCATGTGGGATGCTGCCCCAGCATGGCTTGATAAGTGGTGCCATGTCTGCACCCAGGATCCAAGCCAGCAAAACCCTAGGCCGCCAAAGCAGAGAGTGTGAACTTAACCACTCAGCCACAGGGCCAGCCCCAACCTCACTCTTTCAGTGATGAAAACACGCTAACTGGAAAAAGCCTGGCCTTTGTCTGCAGAGTTATGTATAAATTGTGCCTCTCTGACTTAACTGTAAGGTATCTGAGGGTAGAAATTAATGATGATGATGATAATTAAACAGGATTAAGATGAAACGGGTTGGACTGGCAAGAAGTACTAGGGCCTAGAAGAAGAGATTGTAGATTTGAAAGGAAGAGCAACAACTGGGAGGCCTTGGGATAAACTATTTAGAGCTCTGAATCTGTATTAAGCTTCCCAAGAAATAGGAAGCCATATTTGTAATTACTTCAACTGGTGACAGTTTATATGCCCAAATTCCCACATTGTGCTATGAAACTAATAGAATAATTAAGGAGAACAAGGACAAAGCACCAAATTTGAGATTAAGGAATCAGAAAATGCTTCTTAGGAGAAGTAGCCCTAAACTAAGATCTTAAGGATTAATAGATGGAGCTGGTAAGGGCAGGAGGAGGAAGTTCCCAGGCAGAGGGAACTACTTTTGCAAAGACCTAGTAGAAATAAAGACAGCACAGCAAGTTCTAAAAATAAAATACTTCTGCACGGCTGGAGCACACAGTGTAAGAGAAGGCAGAGGAAATGAGGAAGATGAGAGAAATAAACAGGAGTCATTTCATAAAGAGCCTTGAAGGTATGTTAACGAGTTTAAACTTTACTTAAGAACAACGATGGGTTTTACACATAGGAGTTATGTGACCAGGTTTAATATCTTAGAAAAGTCATTACAGCTAAAATATGTTAAAAGTATTGGACGGGGGAAAGCTGGAGATGGAAAAAACAGTTAAGATGCCACTGTAGATGGTAGGGGCCATGGTTTAAAAGTGAGCTTAAAGCTGTTTAAAGGTGGAGAAAAAACTCCAGAAAGAAATACCATTTAATAGAGAAAATAGGGCAGAAGTAACATTCAGAGATAAGAATTTTCCAGAATTGATGAAAGACACTAATCCTCAGATCCAGGAAATCCAACTTAATCCAATTAAAATTAAGAAAAAAAACAAAAAGACTAAATCCACACCTAAATATATCCCAGAGAAACTACAAAGCATGAGAATATTAAAAGTAGCGAGAGAGAAAAGACAAAGGAACAATTAGACTGACAGATGACTTCTCAACAGTAACAGTGGAAGCCAGAAGTCAGTGGAACACTATCTTTGAAAGAGCTGAGAAATTCCTATATAAAAGCAAAATGAAACATAGCCTCTAAACTATGTGTACAGTAATAATGAGCACCTATGGTACTCAAATAGTAGTCTCTAAATACCACTGCCCACTAAACTAAAAGATGAAGAAGAAATCAATAAATATCCTCATAGAGATTTGACACATCTCTCTCAATAACTAAGCAGAAAAGGCAATCAGTAAGAAACAACGACAATCTGAACAGTAAAATTAACAATGCATGTGTGTGTGAATGCACGTGTGGGTATGTGCATATGCATACATTTCAGGCTGAAGTGACAAAACTATAAAGGTATGCCAGTGGAAAAGTATAGGATTGCTTCAGGGAAGAGGGGAGAGTGTGTAGTAGGTGATAATATTAAAAATACAGATTAAAGCAGTATTGGAGAGCATACTAAATAATGCAGAGGTAGGGATCATGCAATAATTGAATGTTGAGGCAATCAGGAGTCTACACTGGTAGGAGAAATGGAAAACATGAAATTGAATATGAAGTAGATTTATATTTCTAAAGTAGACAGATAAATTGTCAAATGATGAAAAAACACTATATACAGCATAATTCCTCTTTATTAAAAAAAAAAGTGGGGGCCAGCCCCATGGCCAAGTGGTTAAGTTCGCGTGCTCTGCTTCAGCAGCCTGGGGTTTCACCAGTTCAGATCCTGGGTGCAGACATGGCACTGCTTATCAAGCCATGCTGGGGTGGCATCCCACACAGCACAACCAGAAGGACCTACAACTGAAATATACAACTATGTACTGGGGGATTTGGGGGAGAGAAAGAAAAAGAAAAAAAAAAGAAAAAGAGTGGCAACAGCTGTTAGCTCAGGTGCCAATCTTTAAAAAAAACACAAGTGTGTATATGAATGTGTTTATAAAATAAAGTTTGGAATGATACACACCAAACTGTAGAGGTGACATGCGAGGGTGTGCAGAGAAGATGGGAAAGTCATATTTTAATCATTTGTTTTATTTTTTGCTCAACTGTTTTTCTTTTTTTATAGGGCACTTATACTGCTTTTATAATACAAATAACATGTAAAATGAAAGGTTAAAAAAAGACAAAATAACTTCCTAGGGTAGAGGCTCAGTTTAACTGCTAGTTTTTTGTAGCTATAATTAGCATTCCAAGTGGGTACCAACAAGCCAGCTAATCTACATCTATTATCTGACAGATATCCAGATACTCTGCCAGTATTTGAGAGACTTCATGAAAGGAAACTTTTGAAAAATAAATTTCCTAATACTCATCAGAACTGAATAGTATGCTAAAATCATCATCTGTGGCAATTTTACCTTGATTTTTTTTTTAATTGTAAAAGTTAAATACTAGTTATAATTTACCTAACACAGAGATTACAAGAAAAAAATAATTTCATCCCCATGTCCCATCTCACTTCTTTAGGGTAACCAGTGTTAATTTAATACATATGCTTTCATATCATTTTCAATGTTCATATACAGATCTTGTTTTTTGTTTGTTTTCATAAAAAGAGAATTATATACACATTACTTGGCACCTTCCTACCTATTCATCAAGACAATTTTTAGATATATTCACCTACAGTTGCAAAATACATTTTCTGTTATCTACATGAACACTAGAGGATACAAAATTCAATCTAGAACAACTGGGCTGACAAAAATGATAATACAGGACATAATAACAATCTGGTTACTACAGGGTAACAATTTTTTCTTTTCTTTGTTTGATTATTTGTTTTGTTTTTACAATACATCTTTCTAAGCTACAAATCTACTATCAAGTTTGTTTAAATTATCATCAGTACTCAAACAAAAATAAGCCTATGTAACCTAAGACACTACATGTTCACCCAGGCCATGCCGAGCTGGCGCCCCTGAGAAATCCCCAGGAGGCTACAGGGGGTGTCTCACCAATTCAGAAGAGGGCTGAGTCAGATTCTGAACCACTGCCTCAAATAGTACTCACAGAAATTAGATAAAGTGACCTATGAAGTCATTGTATCCACCCCCATCTCAGGAAATCTTGGTCCCAAAGAAATAATAACCAGTTTTTTGTCCAGTCTAACATTTACTACATACAGGATAGACATTTCACCAAGCCCAAGAAGAATATCTCATCAAAGTTTTTACTGTATAAAGAAACTGTAAGAATAAACACCAATTTTCAAAAGACATACTAAGTTATTCTTACCCATCATCTTTTTCCCTAGGCAAAAAAAAATCTGTTTTCCTCACTGGAGCACCATCCTTCAGATAGTTAAAGCTTACTACTTATATTCAGTCCTTGTCTATAACCTAATCTATGTTAAAGGAATTACAATGTGTAAAAGACATATCAAGATTCCTTAACCACTATCCCACTCTCAGGCCCATCCACCACAATATGTGGTGTTTAAATATATGTTGTGTTTTCATTTTTGTTTTTTTAAGAACAGACATATTCATTCAAATGCAATGGAGAAAACACATTCAGGTTAACAGCATCCTATCTTCTTCAAACTTCCCTAAAGTTCCAAGAGACTTGGAGTGTGTGTGTGTGTGTGTCTTATACATTGCCATTATTATGACTGCTTCAAAGCTCTGACACAATTAGAAAAAATGAAAACAATGTGACATGACCTTGGCAGGCATACAATTTCATTTTATATGATACAGTGAGATAATTACTTTTTTCCTAAAAGTTGACTACTAGCATCAATATTAACTCAAAACTTACTTCCAATTCTTTAATTTTTTCTTCTGCTATTTTCTGTTTCTCTAATAGCTGATTGTGAATTACCTCCTTGGATTGAAGAATAAACCTACAAAACACAAAAAAGTTGAAGATTAAGCCAGATGACCACTATATTCATCAAAATCAACAGCTATATCCCACAAATATTAAACTAAGAAAACTAAAAGGATGTTCTCCCAATTCAGGACAAATAAAATGCATTAATATATTAATGTGACAAACTCAGGAAACCACCACAGGTTTAAGCTTTCATGGCTGAGAAGAAATAAAAGCTTAAAAGTAAATTCTGCCTTCTTGTCTAAGAAGGGAATCAGGCTTCAAGTAGATTTACGATAAAAGAAAAAAAAAAGCATAAAGGGACAAAAATCTATTACAGGCTAAGAGATAAGTTAACAAACAATAAAATCCTCCATAATTTTTATTTTTTCAGTTATCTATATTAACTTTTATCTAGATTTTTTAAAACAATATTTGTAAATTAAAGCTCCCCCTCCAATCTTTTTTTTTTATTTTTATTTTTTGTAACAGCAGTAACTCATGACCTTTTAAAGTCACAATCAAGTACTGTGTTAGGATCAATGCATTAGTGTTTATACGAGTTCCTCACACAAAAAGCACTGTATAAGACCTAGTATCCTTTATTATTATTTCCAGAGTGTATAATACCTCTGAAAAGCTCAAAATGCACAAGTGGAAAATTTCAACTTTTTCCATTTTACAGTCAGGCACATCATTTACAGCTGATGAGGATGGAAATACGGGAAAGCTTTAAAAATTAACACTGAATCTCTTCTGTGACTTTATGTTCATAATTCTTGCTGTGGGGAAAGGAAGAAGAAACCATTTTATAAACTCAAGTAAATGAACTGAAATATTTCCCTTCCACTGGAAGTAAAGGAAAACTTTAATTACTCCAATCTCTTTCAGGATTGTCCAACTAGGGTATAACAGATTTCAGTTAAAGATTACAGTTAACTAAGCAGACTGTTTCTTCTCTTTGTACACAACTTGGAGTTTAAAAGAACTAAACATCTCTTAACGAAAAGCCAAACAAGAAAACACATCAAGATAGCAATATGCAGTTTCCTCCACCAACCTCATAAAAACACTGCATCTAGGTGAGTTCTTACTAAGAGGGTCTGTTTGTTTTTTTTTTTTTTTAAAGATTTTATTTTTTCATTTTTCTCCCCAAAGCCCCCCGGTACATGGTTGTGTATTCTTCGTTGTGAGTTCTTCTAGTTGTGGCATGTGGGATGCTGCCTCAGCGTGGTCTGATGAGCAGTGCCATGTCGGCGCCCAGGATTTGAACTAACGAAACACTGGGCCGCCTGCAGCGGAGCGCGCGAACGTAACCACTTGGCCACGGGGCCAGCCCCTACGAGGGTCTGTTTTTATAGATCTAAGACAAGTAAAAACAGACCAAAAACAGCAACTCTAGCTTTGCCCAGACTCCAGGGAGGAAACTGCTTTTTCCTGCCTCTTCTTCGTGAATATACCTTGGCACACATATTAATATACTTTGGTGAACTTCTCTTTCACTCCACTAATTATTAAGCTTATCTCCTGAGATGGACAGTCCAGATAATTTAACTGATGATCCTAGTCTTCAGTGATAACGTGATCCTTTGTAAAAGTCTTACTCATATATTTACTGCAAAGGTAGCCCATATTCATGCAAAACAAGGATTACTGTATAACCTGCATCCAAAATATTCTTATTGTTAGTCCAAGAGACAGGTGCTATTTTTGATAAGACTATGGTTTATATAACATTTTTCTCAGAACTAATTATTTAGCAGAGTATTTGAGGAGAAGGGCTGTTCTGAACTGTACTGTCTCAGTGACACCATGTAAAAAGTGTTATAAATCTAGGCCCAAGAGTCATCAAATTGCATCATTACACGCACAATTTTACTAAGAAAGTCTTTTAGCCCGGGAAATAATTTTCAGAGTAAAATACACATTTTTAAATAGCACTGATTGTGGCCAGTGAGTAGTATTCTCAAATAATAGGTCATCAGACATTATCTTTATTAGTGTCTAGGAAATTTTCAAAGCTAAGATTAGAGGTCAAGTCATTACTTATGTGGCCTTTAAAAATAAAGTATCTGAACAGATACTAAATCCCTTGAGCAGAAAATAAAATTACTAGAAAGCAAGAACACTCAACAACAAAAACATGTTTTTCCATGGCCACACACTCCTGAGGTAGCTATATTAGACTGTGCCAACTTCAAAGGCCAGAGAAATGTCACCAAAGCTAGCCAACTTACTATAAGCCAAAGGACATCTCAGCCACAAAAGTTTTAAACAAGGATGAATACTGAGTAAACTCAAAGGTCTACCTCAAAGAGCAGTTATATAGTCGAAACTCAAAAATACTTATGGAAAATTTGGTTTAGTCCTCAATACTAAAAATGCCAAAGATACATTGCATGAAGATTGGAAAGAGCCCCAAGAAGTATTTGGCTCCCTGGGAAAAGTCTTTAGAAAACAACTTACCTATTGTTTAAAAAGCACTAATTATTAGATGCTATTTTGAAGATAAAGGACCTATCGTAAGAATGTAATCATGAGTCGTATGTCATAAATATACACTAAGCACACAGTTTCTCAAAGCAGAGAATCTCACAGAGATCCTGCCTGAGAGTTTATGAAAGCCAAATGGTAGATAAAGGATTCTGGAGTTCAGAATGTGCTACAAAGGAAAAATAAACCATGAAGAGGGAAATTATTTTCATATGACAAATGATATGCAGAGAATGTGCTTACAATACTCAGGATTATATAATCTAGACTGGAGTCACTGTTTTGTAAGAGGCCTCTACATTGGAAATCAATGCCATGTGGCCCTGCACTGTCAAATCTCAAGGACTTACAGCCTGCTGTTCCATTTCCTCATTTATTTGTAATTATGCCATCTGAAAAACATGTTATGATGGCTTTTGCTTTTATTTGAGAAACATCAGAAGCTATGTTCTAAATTGTCCTGCAGGTTGGTACATGACTTTCACTTTCTTACGACTTAGCATGAATCAAAAGTATTGTTCACCTGCCCAAAACACAATCCAGGATCAGTGGCAATGTTGTCTTTTGGGTACACTTGCAAAGTGTGGTCACCTGGGCATATACTATTCAGAAACAACATACTTACGATAATGCATTTTGTTTGGGTGGGAAATCTTTAGAGGATGTCTGAAAACATATTCTAATGGCATTTAGGGCACCCACAAAATAAGTGGCACAGAAAAGGCTGAATAAAAATGAGCCTATCTTTCTTCTTTGCTTCATTCCACTGGTGATGAAAACTACTTGCATGTGTGCACAAAGATCCATGTGCAACAAAGTTTTTCTTTTTAAAAAAAAATTTTTTTGAAGACTTTATTTTTCCTTTTTCTCCCCAAAGCTGCCCGGTACATAGTTGTATATTTTTCGTTGTGGGTCCTTCTGGTTGTGCTATGTGGGTCGCTGCCTCACCATGGCCTGATGAGTGGTGCCATGTCCGCACCCAGGATCCAAACCAGGGAAACCCCGGGCTGCCTAAGTGGAGCACGCAAACTTAGCCACTCGGCCATGGGGCCGGCCCCACAAAAAAGTTTTTACTTTCTAATTTTTTTACCAAAAAAAGAAATAACCTAAATCCCTCAGTAAAGAAGCAATTCAAAAATTATGTATATCTATATTGTAGAATGCTGAGTGAGTAGACAATTCTGTTATTGGTATAATGCTGAGTAGATATCCTGAACACTCTTCTTGATTAAGAACAAAGCAAAATAAAAATTGTTTTCAGGGGCCGGCCCTATGGCCAAGTGGTTAAGTTCATGTGCTCTGCTTCAGCAGCCCAGGGTTTTGCCGGTTTGGATCCTAGGCGTGGACATGGCACCGCTCATCAGGCCATGCTGAGGTGGTGTTCCACATAGCACAACCAGAAGTACCTACAACTAGAATATACAACTATGTACTGGGGGGGCTTTGGGGAGAAGAATAAAAAAAAGAAGAAGAAGAAGAAGATTGGCAACAGTTGTTAGCTCAGGTGCCAATCTTTAAAAAAAAAATTTTTTTAAACATTCTCCTGAGCAAACACAAACAAAAGATTCCACCGAGGCCCAACATGAAGTGAAATCAGGAATTCTGGACGGTAAGAAAGCAATAAACTGGCTTTCACCTTGTTTCTGCTGAATCCTACACACCTCAAACATCCACACTGGCACAGAAACAGGAGATAAAACCTAGGGGCCATCCAAGGTGAGGACACTATTAGGAGAATCCTCAATTAAACTCAGATTCCCAAAGGGCTCCACCTTCAGTCTAAGAGTGAAAAAGAAATAAGTTTGCCTCTCAGTAGGGTAAAACAGAAGAAACTCTGTCTATCTATACCTTGGTATTGAGTAAAATGAAAAACCAAAAACGTCCTCTAAGAATGTGTAACCATAAGCTGGCCTTCTCATGGGTTGTGGCCAAATTCAACCTATTGCATGGTCCAGAAAATCTCAAGTACAGAATTTAATTTACAGTTCCTAATTAGGTGGGTGACAAAATTCAAGTAAACTGAAGATGGGTTAATAAACATTAATTAAACTAAAACACAAAAAGAAAAAAAATTCTACAAAACAATAAAATAAACAAAACAAAAAAATAAGATGCAGCACACAAGACCTAAGAGACAATACTGAGCAGTCTAACATACGTGTAATTAGAGATCAAGGAGGAGAAAGAGAATGGAGAAGAAAACATCTGATGAAAATGGACAAGAATTTTCTAAAACAAATGAAAAGAACACCAAATCAGAGTTCTAAGACATTCAGAGAAACACAAGCAAAATAAATACAAACAAAACAAAACTAGGCATAGCATAATCAAACTGCTGAAAAACAAAGATAAAGAGAAAATCTTGAAGGCAGACAGAGACATGACACATTACCTTCAGAGAAATAAAGATAAGAGGTACAGCAAATTTCTTGTCACAAACTATGCAAAGGCAGAAAACAATGGAAGGACATTTTCAAAGCACTGAAAGAAAAAGGCTATTAACCCAGCATTACATACGCAGTAAAAATATCTTTCAAA